TTATAATACATATGTTATAGTACATACATTATGGTACATAAGTACTTTATGGTACATTATAATACATATGTTATAGTACATACATTATGGTACATAAGTACTTTATGGTACATTATAATACATATGTTATAGTACATACATTATGGTACATACGTAATTTATGGTACATTATAATACATATGTTATAGTACATACATTATGGTACATACGTAATTTATGGTACATTATAATACATATGTTATGGTACATTATGTAATGGTACATACTGAAAGATATTTAGTGACTAATTAACTGAGTTTTATATAAAGCCTTATATTCTATACTTTGTGATTAAATGCACAAACAGAGAATCAACAAATCACTGGTTTATGTGCGCCTCGCTCCAGTTTTGTAAAAATACTTGTTTATTTACAGCTTTCTAATGCTGACGTCAGAAGAACATCATGTGATTCAGGGCGGTTTTGTTCAGACTTTCAGGGCCACACAGGTTCTGGATGAGAATCTTTAGGTTTTCTGTTTATTACTCGGGCTTTCAATTTGAACGTTTTCTCACAAACTGTGGTACGTGTGTTTCAGGCTGGACTACAGCGGACCCTCCAGAGAGTTTTTCTTCTTGGTGTCCAGAGAACTTTTCAATCCGTACTACGGTCTGTTTGAGTACTCCGCTAACGACACGTACACGGTGCAGATCAGCCCCATGTCGGCCTTCGTGGACAACCACCATGAATGGTGAGCTGTGTGCAGGTTCTTCAGAAGAAGAACTACAGCTCAGATAAGGACAGATTATTTCAATGTGTGTTTTAATTTTCCAGGTTCCGCTTCAGTGGGCGGATCCTGGGCCTGGCCCTCGTCCATCAGTACCTGCTGGACGCGTTCTTTACCCGTCCATTCTACAAAGGTCTTCTTCGAATGTAAGTGTCACCTCTGAGGGGTCTTCTTCTCATGATCAGCAGGTTTGTGAAACACTTGGATCCTTTGGTTCCTGCAGCCCATGTGACCTGAGTGACCTGGAGTTCCTGGACGAGGAGTTCCACCAGAGCCTGCAGTGGATGAAGGACAACGACATCGAGGACATGCTGGACCTGACCTTCACCGTCAACGAGGAGGTCTTTGGACAGGTGTGTGTWTAAATATTTACTCTGTGTCCTGCTGAGACAGACTCTCAGAAACACCAGCATCTCGCCTGCGACTCCTCAGATCACAGAGAGAGAACTGAAGCCAGGCGGCGCCGGCATCCCCGTGTCTGAGAAGAACAAGAAGGAGTACATCGAGCGCATGGTGAAGTGGAGAATAGAGCGAGGAGTGGCCCAGCAGACCGAGAGTCTGGTCCGAGGATTCTATGAGGTAACAGGAAGATTTGTTTGATCATTTGTAGAAATACACTGAAAAACAGTTTGTTAGTGATAAAAAATAAAAGATCTGGAAACAAGTTACTGACATTTACTGACTGGAAAACTGTAAATCTGCTGGATAAGATGTGAGAAACAACCAGTTTATTAGATTCATCCTCTGGTTTAGGTCCAGAGGGAGGGAGGGATGATGGATGGATGGATGGATGGAAGGATGGATAATGGATTGGATGGATGGATGGATGGATGGATGGATGGATGGATAATGGATGGATGGATGGATGGATGGATAATGGATGGATGGATGGATGGATGGATGGATGGATGGATGGAAGGATAATGGATTGATGGATGGAAGGATAATGGATTGATGGATGGAAGGATAATGGATTGATGGATGGATGGATGATGGATGGATGGAAGGATAATGGATTGATGGATGGATGGATGGATAATGGATTGATGGATGGAAGGATGGATGGATGGATAATGGATTGATGGATGGATGGATGATGGATGGATGGATAGTGGATTGATGGGTGGATGGATGGATGGATGGATAATGGATTGATGGGTGGGAGGATGGATGGATGGATAATGGATTGATGGGTGGATGGATGGATGGATAATGGATGGATGGATAATGGATGGATGGATGGATAATGGATGGATGGATGGATAATGGATGGATGGATGATGGATGGATGATGAATGGATGGATGGATGGATGGATGGATGATGATGGATGGATCCATTTGTTTGCTTGTTTGTGTGTTTGTGTTTGTTTGTTTATATTTGTTTGTTTATGTTTGTTTGTTTATATTTGTTGTTTGTGTGTTTGTGTTTGTTTGTTTATGTTTGTTTGTTTGTCTGTCAGGTGGTGGACGTTCGGCTGGTCTCTGTATTCGATGCTCGGGAGTTGGAACTGGTCATTGCCGGCACAGCAGAGATCGACCTGGCAGACTGGAGGAACAACACGGAGTACAGAGGAGGTGTGTGAGGCTGGAGTCATGACCTTTGACCTTTGAGGCCTGTAGAGTCGAACATGGAGCTCATTTCTCTGAGCGTTACACAGTCTGGCCTTCAGGGTGAATTTACAGCCACTCCTGAGACTGGCAGCTGTCTTTGATGTAAACGTTGACCTCATTTGACCTCTATGATGTCATTATAGAAATAAAACATGGATCACTTCCTGAAACAGATCATATTCTGGTTTGATCTGACAGGAGAGATGAAAGGTTTCATCTTGAACATCTTGTTGTTGTTTAGTTCGTGCTCTGAGCGTGACGTTTGAAACTTTTAATAAAATAAACCAACTGAGACGCTCCAAACGGTTCTGTTCAATAAACATTAACCAGCAGAACGTGCTGCAGCCGAGGCAGGAGGAGGAGGAGGAGGAGGAGGAGGCCTTCGTTGTTATTCATCTGACTCATGCACCATCATCCTGTCTCTTCCCCTCAGGTTACCATGACAACCACATAGTGATCCGCTGGTTCTGGGCGGCGGTGGAGCGGTTCAACAACGAGCAGAGGCTGCGGCTGCTGCAGGTGGGACTGAGCGCCCCCCGGTGGAGGCGTGTTTGGTGCTTTACGTAAGATCTGACTGCAGGAGTTAAAACAACGTAAACACAAACCTGATCCCAGCTGGTTTATTTACAGAAATAAAACAAATAAAAACAATAAAACTCTGGACAGGGTGGGATGTTTTCTAAATGTTAACAAATTTATTTTGTCAATTAGGACCCTTCTAACCAAACCAACATTAGTTTAATTTAAAAAGGGTGTATTTTATTTTAATGGTTTAATAATAGACATTATTTGATAAACATTCAGCCTGCAACTGAAAATAATGGTGGAGGACCTCAGTTTTAGCCTTTTAGCGTTAATGTTAGCTCCAGAGCTAATGGTGATTGATGGTGTTAGCTCTCGAGCTAATATATAGATTGTAATGTATGATGCTAGCTCTCGAGCTAATATATAGATTGTAATGTATGGTGTTAGCTCTCAAGCTAATATATATATTGTAATGTATGATGCTAGCTCTCGAGCTAATGGTGATTGATGGTGTTAGCTCTTGAGCTAATATATAGATTGTAATGTATGTGTTTAGCTGTCAAGCTAATATATAGATTGTAATGTATGTTGTTAGCTCTCAAGCTAATATATAGATTGTAATATATGGTGTTAGCTCTCAAGCTAAATAAATATAAATGTGTGGTTTTAGCTCTCAAGCTAATATTATTAGCTGGGAGCTAACACCACACATTTATTTATAATATATACGTGTGTGGTGTTAGCTAAATCAATACAAAATATACATTTATTGTCACACTCAATAGCTTTTTAGCCTTGACTTTTTGTGTCAAACTGTATCTGATTTAAAAAGACAGCCTCAAAACGAGTTGATCTGAGACTCATCTCAGAAAAGGAGAGGGGCTTGTGGAGTAACAATAAAGAGGAATTCAGATCAACGCATTTAGTTCCACTTTAAATAGACCCCAACTGAATGATTTAAATGTGAAAAGCGGTTTAAAAGCAACATACTTCTCCTTTAAATGAAAAATGTAGTATTGTACAATTTTTAATAATTAGATGTTTTCACATTAAACATCTTTTAGTGGAACAGCAAACATGTTAAGACCAACATGTGACAGTAGTCAGAGATCCTTTTAAAGCTTTGAATAATAACGTTTCCATATTTCTTCTTCCTGTTTCGACCCGCCTGGCTTCAGTTTGTGACGGGCACGTCCAGCATTCCCTACGAGGGCTTCGCCTCGTTACGAGGCAGTAACGGACCCCGCAGGTTCTGTGTGGAGAAGTGGGGGAAAATCACCTCGCTACCCAGGTGAGACGTGACGGACATTCTCTCAGCTGCTAACGCTAATTCCGCTAACGCTATCTAGCTCTTAGCCTTTCTGTTTGTGTCTCCAGAGCTCACACCTGCTTCAACCGCCTGGACCTCCCGCCCTACCCGTCCTTCTCCATGCTCTACGAGAAGTTGGTCACCGCCGTGGAGGAGACCAGCACTTTTGGCTTGGAGTAACTCCAAGAATCAAACATCTGGATCCCCAAAGTTTCTCATTTAAGAGAAGAAGCTGGAATCTTCAAAAGGCAACTGACCCCTTGTGGATAACTCTGCTGTTTTTGTTTTTTAGCTTTTCCATCACTCAGCGTTCAGATCTCACTCCTTGACTTCACTTTGATCGAGACTTAGATGGAGAATCAGGAGAACTTATCAAAGGCTGTTTGGTTTGTTAGTCTGAGCCACATGTGTGCTTTATCTCAGAGACAGCTGCTGAAAATCTCCTTTTTGTCCCTCTCCCAGGACCTTAAAACTGTGTCCCACATTGAAAAACTACAACGCGTGTCTTTTTGCACAAATATATTTTCTTTATGTTCACATCCTGAACCACCGTCTCCCCTTAAAATTTTGTACCAACGTGGAACGACGGGGCTTTGACTTAAAGATGGACCACTACTCTCAGCTGTGTCACCTGTTAACGAGGTACCTGTGGGTGGACCTTTCCACACTTCTTTTACTCCCTCGAATGAAAAACACCACTTCTGATCCAGAGAAAGAGATGAATGTAACAAACCTGAATGTACAGCCTTCAGAAACATGGGTTTTACTTTTACGTCTGAGAGAAGAGTTCCAAGTCAGTAACAATCCTGGTAAAAAAGGAAAAAGTGCCCCTTCCAGTTTTTACATTTTAATATTAGGACATAAATAATAAACACAAGACGTGATATGGTGATGGTACGCAAAATGCATATTGGTGAAAAAAACAAAACAAAACTGGTTCCAGCCCTTGATCCAACAGCTCGTCTGTTTCCTAGGGTTAGCTTGAATGTTCGCTAATGTTAGCTTGTAGCTTTGCTAGGATTAGCTTGTAGATTTGCAAGTGTTAGCTTGAAAGTTTGCAAGGGTTAGCTTGAAGGTTTGCAAGGGTTAGCTTGTAGATTTGCAAGGGTTAGCTTGAAGGTTTGCTATCGTTAGCTTGTAGGTTTGCTAGGGTTAGCTTGAAGGTTTGCTAAGTTGGCTTGTAGATTTGCAAGGGTTAGCTTGAAGGTTTGCAAGAGTTAGCTTGAAGGTTTGCAAGGGTTAGCTTGAAGGTTTGCAAGGGTTAGCTTGAAGGTTTGCAAGGGTTAGCTTGAAGGATTGCTAGGGTTAGCTTGTAGATTTGCAAGGGTTAGTTTGTAGGTTTGCAAGGGTTAGCTTGTAGATTTGCAATGGTTAGCTAACGTTTCCAGAGCTTATACTGACGGTTTGCAAGGGCAAGGGTTAGCTTGTAGGTTTGCTAGGATTAACTTGATTTGCTAAGGTTAGCCTGTAGATTTGCAAGGGTTAGCTTGAAGGTTTGTTTTAGTTAGCTTGTAGATTTGCTAGGGGTTAACTTGAAGGTTTGCTAGAGTTAGCTTGTAGGTTTGCCAAGGGTTAACTTGCATGTTTGCTAGGGGTTAGCTTGAAGGATTGCAAGGCTTAGCTTGAAAGTTTGCTAGGGTTAGCTCGTAGATTTGCCAGGGGTTAACTTGAAGGTTTGCAAGAGTTAGCTTATAGGTTTGCTACGGGTTAACTTGCATGTTTGCTAGGGGTTAGCTTGAAGGTTTGCTAGAGTTATCTTGTATGTTTGCAAGAGTTAGCTTGTAGGTTTGCTATGGGTTAACTTGCATGTTTGCTAGGGGTTAGCTTGAAGGTTTTTAGCTTGAAGGTTTGCAAGGCTTAGCTTGAAGGTTTGCTAGGGGTTAGCTTGAATGCTTGCCAGGGTTACCTTGTGGGTTTGCTAGAGTTTAGCTTGTATATATTGTAGGTTCAGCTATAAGGTTAGCTAGATTTTGCTTGTAGACATGCTAACATTAGCTTACTGGCTTGCCAGGATTACCTTGTAGGTCTGCTAGGGTTAGCTGGTAGGTTTGCTGATCTTAGCATTTAGACGGGTTACAGTTAGGATGACAGATGGCACACAGGTGTTTCTCTGATCATCAGTGCTGTTGTGTTTCCATCTTGGCGTTGTGTTAACACACACCAGTCCTTACATCAGCAGCGAGGCTGGAACCAGTTTGTCCCTCGCAGCTTTAACACGTAATTTTTACTAAACGACATGAATCTGTTGTGTTTTTGTTCAGTTGAGGTAAACCGTTTTAAAACCTGGTGAAGTTTTATGTCCTGATGTGTAAAATCTTTAAACTGGAAGAAGGGTTTTATTTTTTATTGTTACAACTGTGGAGATAAAAACCAACACAAGGGGGCGTTACATGCTCTGTTATTTGAAGCTTAAGTGACATCCGTCCTGTTTCTGTTACAAAAGCACGAGATAAATCATTCTGTCCTCTTCCCCCTGAACCCCCTGAATGCACGTTTACACCTCCTGTGTACAGACACCTGTTGGACCTGAGAGGCTGGAGTAAAGTTTAAGATGTGCCCCACCCCCTAACACCTCCCGGTCTAATACTGCATGCAGGACCTGCCCGGTCAGCAGCTCCGTGAGCCGCACCTGCCAGGTTCTTCTAGGTGGTGTGTTGTGTCATAGCTCGATATTGCATGTTGAAGTAGCGCAGCACACCGTCCTGACTAGCTTTGTGCATGAGGATACAGCCGTTCATTCAGACGCCTGGCTGGAGGAGGTGGCACGCACGCGTCACGTCGATTGTGGCGCTCACTGGAAGCCTTACGCTCACCTGACACTGTCGTACCTGTGTGCTCATCCAAGTGCTTTAAGACTGGTGGCGGTGGGACGGAGAGCTTCACGGCAGCATGTTTCTGAAATGTTTCACTTAGTATAAAGTTGACGGTTCTTCGCTCGCCGACGAATCAATGAGGCTGAACTCAACGGAGCACATGTGTCGTGTTTCTGATTGTCTCTTTGTATATAAATGTGCGTCTGTCTTGTGTGTACAAATATATATATTTTGCACCGAATGTACCAAAGGTTTGGGGCTTGCAGAGTCAACCATCTGTCTGATTCAGTCCAACAAACACATCCCACGTCTCAGATTCTTACACGACGTTTGCTCCGGATGAAAACAGCTGCACCTCCCGTCCCGTTCAGAACACCTCCGACCCGACTCCACTCTATGCAAAGCTCCCGTGTCTCCATTTCACTTCGACGATTGTAATAAAAGAGAACAAGTGGAAAGCTTTCATACATATATGTGCTCTTATTTATCTGGTGAGAGTTACCACAGGTCCAACTTTAAGAACATAAGCAATGGTGTCAAATAAAAACAGCTCAAGGTGTTAAAATGTAAAAGTAAATCAGGACTGGATTAAACGTTATGGTGTAAAAGTTCACATGATAAGAAGCCAGATCATTAAAAGCATGCAATAAAATCTGATTACTTTTAGGTAAAATGTCACCTCAGGGCAGATTCATTTTATCGTCTTGCAAGACACAATTATCTTGGTAGATGTATGAAAAATTCCAAATAATTTTGAGCTTTTTTTCCAAAGAAAGGTTTAGATTTTAAATTGCTTAATATATCATTTTAAATTTAAAAATTAGAGCAGTCAAACAAAAGCAAAACAATTAATTTAAACTATTTGTGCAATACCAGGAGAAAATATAGTCAAAAAGAGTGTCAGATTATGAATTTTTGTAGTTTTTAGAAGCTACTTCCTGGTTAGAAGCTACTTCCTGGTTAGCTGGAGCACCGCAGTGCGCATGCGCCGCGCTGTGACGTGTCCGCTCGGTGTCAAACAGGGATGTAAAAATGACCGAAAACGCTCCGGATCCACCAAATAACTTGATTTCCCGTGGCCCTCAGCAGCAGTTCGGACCGTTCACCTGCCGGGTTTACCTTTTCCTTTCGTGTTTTAGTAAGTTTGTTTAGGTTGAGCTGAGAAAAACCGGTTTGAGTTACTTTTTTTGTGGCGGACAGATTCACTGTCGTCGAGTTAACTTTTAGCGAACCGTTTGGCTAACCGGAGCTGCGCTCGGTGAACAGGAGCATGTTAGCCGGCGCGACGCGGGCGGAGCTTGGGTCACTTCTCCTATTTACTCGGAGTTAATTCGCAGAAGGAAGAAGAGCCGAGCCGAGCCGAGCCGGGTCGGGTCGAGTCGGGGTTAGCTGGAAGCGACAGGATCCAAGGCGGACAGAGGATGATGTCCCGCAGGAGGCTGGACAGCCGCAGCGGGCTTCCCGCCGGGCTGCTGGGGGACATCCAGACCCCGATCAGCCCCGAGCCGCTGGAGAGCCTGTATGACGTCACCGGAGAGCTGGGGAGGTGAGGGACACTGATGGTTCTGGTTCTGACAGGGGTTCTGCTCACATTTATCAGTTTATTTTATCCTGATAAGGGTTTAAAAACAAAATAAAAGTGTAAAAAGTTTAAAAAACACAAACTTAAATTCAGATTTATCAGTAAAAATATCAAGTCTGAAACTCAGCCTGTATATTTTTAAACTTTTTACACTTTTATTTTGTTTTTAAACTCTTATCAGGATAAAATAAAACTTCTCTGATCTTTTACAGGTTTAAACATAAAACTCATATCTCATCATTGGGTGTAAAAACACACAAGTGGTGTGTTGTTTGTTTGAAAATAAAAGAAAATGTTGCTCCAGGTGTGTTTTGGAAAGACATCAGCAATGACCTGATAATCTGTCTAAAGAGGGTCAAACATCTCAAACTGTCGCTCTGCACTTCAGTAGATTATTAACATTTAGCACAGCAGCATGCTCACCCTGAAGGTCAGACCGTGCAGTGCTTAGAGACACACTGGAGAAATGCTTTATTTACTTTTTATTTAATAATAAATGGTAGTTTAATTTATTGGATTATAATCTCTAGGTTTTTATTCACAAGGTTAAATTTGAATCATTACATAAATAAAACCACAGAGTTGAATGAGTTTTTTTTTTTCACTCATGATTGTGTTTAAATGTTTCAACTCGAGCCAGCCGCCACTTCGGACTCTGGACCGTCATGAGTCGGGCCCCGAAACGCTCAGGTGTGCCTCGGCGTGACTCGGACCTGTGTGTCGTAACGACTCGGGAGGAGGAAGGAAACCTGCTGACATGTTTTTAAAAAAAAAACCTTCCGAGAAAGAAGAAGTTTATTAAAAACAGGAAGCAGAGAGGTGAAATTATCCMCTGTTATCTTTATAAAGTTAAATATAAAATCATCTGATGCGACACAAATCAAATCTGAAATGAGGAGCCGGTGTTTTTAGAACAAAAGAACTGTTTAATCATCATTACTCATCATAAAAACATTTATTAAACCTGACTGTATCCTGAGTTATACTGATTATAAAAACTATCAGTTATTTTATCTGCTCAGGATGAGGTGAGCTTAAAATATTTTTAGAAACTCGACAAACCAGTTTGARGTTTTAGTCGAGTCAGATTTTTGTTTTGGACAAACCCTCTCGTGAAACTAGAATAATTTAAATAAAGTTKTTGTTTGTCTGCAGCTGATTGACGTCTGGTTCAAGATGGCCGCCGCAGCTGAGCTCAGATTTCCAGACGTGGAGCGAAATGTTGGCGTGGTAGCTGAGAGTGGTCCGTTATACCCGGTCCTGTTCGATCGTTAGGCTTCGGATTAAAGTGAAAAGATGTTTTTATTTAAGCTTTAATGGTTTTTATTCTGTAGTACTGAAACGTTACAGATAATAAAGTTTATTTGGCATTTTTATTTCACAATAAAAGAAAAAAACAGACCTTGAAACATGTTTTAAATCCTGAGATTCACCTTTAATAAACTTAACGTCTGAATTCATATCTCAAAATTTAAACTTTAAATAACTTTTTGTAATATTTATTTTACTCATAAAGAACATAAGTTTTATTTTTTAACACAACACCAAAACTGTGATGTAAGTTTCTGAGCRTTTATTTTGAAATGTTCCGGTCTCTTCCTGCCCAGGGGGAAGTTCGCGGTGGTGAAGCGCTGCGTGGAGAAAACTACGGGGAAAGTGTTCGCCGCCAAGTTCCTGCGGAAGAGGAGGCGAGGGCGGGACTGCCGGGCCGAGGTGGTCCACGAGATGGCGGTCCTGGAGCTGGCCCGGAACAACCCCCGGGTGGTCAACCTGCACGCCGCGCACGAGACGGACCACGACCTCGTCCTGATCCTGGAGTAGTGAGTGTCGCTCCGATGACGTCACCTCTGTGGCCCACGCAGCTCTCTGAGCCAGAGTCTGTCAGAACCGGTTCATCCGGATCCGTCTGAGACCTGAGAGTCTGCTGACGTCACAAACGAGTCCAGAATCAAACTGCAGCTTCGTTTAAACACATTAATTATTTTAGTCTTCATGGTTTCATTTGAAAACCAGAACCAGAAGAGTGAGCTGCTCATTGGACCACACCTTAAAGACGAAGAACCTGAGGAGGTTCAGAGTCCAGAGAGTCCAGAGAGTCCAGAGAGTCCAGAGAGTCCAGAGAGTCCAGGGAGTCCAGATAAAACTGAGCATTTCTGTTAAAACTGCTTTATAAAGTGATTCAGTTATATAAATCCTTCATAACTGGTCCTCAACTGATCCTATACTGGTCTTATACTGGTCCTATACTGGTCCTATACTGGTCCTCAACTGGTCCTATACTGGTCCTCAACTGGTCCCATACTGGTCCTCAACTGGTTCTCAACTGGTCCTATACTGGTCCTCAACTGGTCCTATACTGGCCCTGAACTGGTTTTAAACTGGTCCTGAACTGGTTTTAAACTGGTCCTGAACTGGTTTTAAACCGCTCCTGAACTGGTTTTAAACTGGTCCTGAACTGGTTTTAAACTGGTCCTGAACTGGTTTTAAACTGGTCCTGAACTGGTTTTAAACCGGTCCTGAACTGGTTTTAAACCGGTCCTGAACTGGTTTTAAACCAGTGTTGAACTGGTTTTAAACCGGTCCTGAACTGGTTTTAAACCGGTCCTGAACTGGTTTTAAACCGGTCCTGAACTGGTTTTAAACCAGTGTTGAACTGGTT